GGGGGAGGAGAAAAGAAGGGAGTCGAGGCATGAAAGCAAAGAGAGAAAAAGGAGAGGGAGGGAGGAGAGAAAGGAAAGAAAAGAAAGAGGGAGGGAGAGAGGGAAGGAAGGAAGGAAGGAAGGAAGGAAGGAAGGAAGGAAGGAAGGAAGGAAAGATTAGGGAAGAAAGAAGGAAAGGGAAGAAGGAAGGGGGAAGAGAGGGGGAGGGAGGAAAGATTAGAGAACAGAGAAGGAAAGGAATGAAGGGAGGAAGGAGAAAAGGGAAGATTAGGGAAGATAAAAAGAAAGGAAGAAAAATGGGAGAGAGGAAGAGAAGGGAAGATTAAGGAAGAGAGAAGGAAAGGAAAGGAGGGAGGGAGGGAGGAAGAAAGAAAAGGGAAGATTAGGGAGAAAAGAAAGGAGAAAAAAAGAAAAGGGAGGGAGGGAAGATAGGAAGAAGGAAATAAAAATTAGGGAAGAAAAAAGGAAAGGAAGGAAGGAGGGCAGAAGGAAGGAAGATTAGAGGACAGAGAAGGGAAAGAAAAAGGGGGGAGGGGGGGAGGAGGGAGGGAAGGAAAGAAGGGGAGAGAAGGAGAAGAAGGAAAGAAGGGGAAGGGAAGGGAATGAGGAGGAGAAAAATAATAATGATCTTCACGAATTTGAACGTGTTTTTTCTAAAAAAAAAAAAAAAAACCAAAAAAACCTTAAAACAACAAAAAAAAGCCTTTAAAACCTAAAATTTCAAAAATACGTCTCAAAAAAAAAAAATCGCTTCGAACTTCACTAAAAATCACAACTTCAACTCTGAATAATGTGAATGAACTTCGAATAACTCTGAATGACTTTCAAACGAGTCGGAAACTTCGGTGCCTGTCGATTCTCCTTTTCATGCGTTATTTTTTTTCCCATGTCCCCGTTTTTCCTCCCTTTGCCCAGCCTACTTCTTCCCCCTTTTTCCCACCCACCCCCATTCTTAAAAACATTTTTTCCCTTTTTTTTAAAGGCCAGAAGCTTCACACACACACACCACCCCGCTTGTTCCGAGCCCAGTGAAGCATCTGCAAACGCTCCCCTCCTACAAGTGTGCATTTTTTTTTTGGATGCCGAAAACGACAAGCTACATCTGGCTCTTTATTTATGTAGAGGTCTGATGTTCCCACAAGAAAGAGAAGCCACCGGTTTAAAAAGCCGTCGTAGTTTTCCCACCCACCCGTGGCGTCTTTTCCTCCCGTCTCTCTCTTTTGTCCCCCCCAAAAAAGGGGGGGAGGAAGGTGCATCTAACAGAAGGCCATTGTGTGGGGTTTTATGAGATGTCAAAAGGTGGGGTGGAAAACAGGGGGAGCATTGTAACAATTATATATATATATATGGCTGTGTGTGTGTATGTTCCAGCATAACTCTGGAGCGCCTCGAGCAATTTCAACCAAACTTGGTACACAGACGACTTATTCTCTGGAAAAAAAAATACTGTGGGGGTAAGACACCCCTGCACCCCTCGGGGTCTGTGTGTGTGTGTGTGTTCCAGCATAACTCTGGAATGCCTGGGCTGCTGAAATGAAAAGGAATGAATTATATCTATAGTGTCAAATCACAATACTTTTGACAGAGATAAGTCTGCCTTTTGGGTTCTGTTAAGATACAGCCTGTTGTGCCTTAAAATGGCTTCTACTGTGCAGCACAGTGGAGTTGCCACGGCAACGGCTTCACAGTACTCCACAAGGGGGCTCCCCTCTGGTAAGGGGGAGTGGTTCTTAAAAAAAAATAAATACCTGGGCAACGCCGTCTTATCAGCTAGCAATTTTTTAAAAACCCGAATCCGATAAGCATTTCTCTGTACTTTGCAAGAGTGAGCATCAGAGCAGAAAGCAGCGAGTTTAAACGACTTTTTTTTCCCCGCCCGTCTGATTTATTTACGCTCTACAGAGTGTCCTCGGCTTACAACAGTTCGCTTAGCGATGAGTTCCAAAGTCCCGACGGCACTGGGAAAAAATGGGGCGGGGTTTTCGCACTTACGACCGTCGCCGCGTCCCCGTGCGATCACACTATTTACATTCGGACACTCGGGAACATGGCTCGTATTGACGACAGTCGCGGTGTCCCGAGTCAACGTGAGCCCCCCCCCTTTGGCGACCTTCTGACGAGTAAAGTCAAGGGGGAAAGACGGATTCGCTTAACAACCGGGTGACTCTTGAACAATGGCAGGGGTTCACTTAACCACTGCGGCAAGGAAAGTCGTGAAATAGGGCAAAACTCAGCTTAGCAGGGGGTTGGACTAGAAGACCTCCAAGGTCCCATCTAGCTCTATTTTGATTTACTGGAAGCGTTTTTTTTTAAAATTCCGTGCTCTCGTTGCTTCAGCAGCTCAAACAAACGGCTCTTTTCCTTTGAAATCTCCTTTTTCTTTGCAAATCTTCCTTCCTATGGCAGGTTTTAACATGCAACCCCAAGAAGGAACAATACATTCCTTAAGAGAAAGAAATGTTTTTTTTTTTCTTCCTCTAAAATCGAGATAAATGTGTATTTTAAAGGGTGCGGGCATTTGGAAGGAAGGGAATTAACATTTTTCTGGCCGTCTTTCGTAAAAGGTGACTTTTATGAACAGGTTTTTCCCGAAACCGATGAGCTACAGCTGGGTTTCAATACCAAGGTAGCCGTGTTTCGCTTAGCAACAGAAATGCTGGGCTCCATGGCGGTCGTAAGTCGGGGATGTACCCTTATAGGTTGGTTTGCTTTTAGGGTGTTTTTTTTTCTTCGATATTGTTTGAAAAGCAGGAAATTCCCTTTCCTGTCTTTGGCTGTGTAGGCCAGCAGGCAGGCTGAAGCGCTGCACCGGTTGGTTTGTCGGCCTGGAACATACAAACACTCACAAAATCTCAAACCTCAGTTTCCCAAAGAGAGGGGGAAAAAAAAAAACCCACTTCTGGCTTAGAAAAAGACATGGGAGCCCCATTTGCTTCACACCTTTGGGGTTAATGTGGTGTTTCAAGTGGCCCCAGAATTTGGGGGTGCAGCAGTAGCAGGTAGAGGGGTGGGGGGGTGGGGGGGGTCTTCCCTTACCTGAGGAAGTGGTTTGTGCGAGGGTCCGAGTGAGAAAATTGCTGCTTATGTCCAGCTCCTGACCATAGAGACGACTGGCTGAAGGGCTCATTTCTGGAGCATCTCTCTCTGGCCCCGCCCACTCGCCCAGGTGAACTGTAAGGAGCCAATTTCTCTTACAGGTGATTTTTATTTTGGCAAATTGCATTCTATGCATTCTCTTTATGGACAGGAGGGGCAAAATGTGACTCCGGGAGTTGGGATTCTCCTTCCTTCTTTTCTTTCTTTTTGTCTCTTTCTCCTTCCTTCCTTTTCTTGTCTCTGCTTCCTTCCTTCCATAATATCTTTCTATCCATCCACACTTCTCCTTTCTACCTTTTTTTCATTTTCCATCGACAATATCCTATCCATTATTTTCCCTTCCCTTCCTTCTTTTCCATCTACTCTATCCCCCATCCATCCATCCCCATCCGTTCTTCCTTCCTTTTCATTTTTCCTCCCTTCTCTCCTTTTTTCCCATCTAGTATATCCTACCTTCCTTCCTTCCCTCCCTTTCTTTCTTCGTCCCTTATTCGTCATCCATCCCTCCGACCCCCATTTATCGTTTCCCTCAGTGTTTATTTGCACTTTGCACCCTTCCGTGAATGCAATTTATAACAATAACAGAGTTGGAAGGGACCTTGGAGGTCATCTAGTCCTACCCTCCCCGCCCAAGCAGGAAACCCTACACCATTTCTGACAGATGGCAGTCCAGTCTCTTCTTGAAAGCTTCCAGTGTTGAAGCTCCGACAACTTCTGGTGGCAAGCTGTTCCATGGGTTGATGGTTCTCACCGTCAGGAAATTCCTCATTTCCAGGTTGAATCTCTCCTTGTTCAGTTTCCACATGCACCCTTGCATGAATGCAACATGCACCCTTGCCATGAATGCAACATGTACCCTTTCTGTGAATGCAACCTGCCCCCTTGCCATGAATGCAACATGCGTCCTTGCAGAAATGCAACATGTACCCTTTCTGGGAATGCAACATGTACCCTTTCTGGGAATGCAACCTGCACCTTCGCATGAATGCAACCTGCCCCCTTGCCATGAATGCAACATGTACCCTTTGCATAAATGTAACATGCATCCTTGCAAAAATGCAACCTGCACATTTCCTTGAATGGAACCTGCACACTTGCATAAATGCAATCTGTCCTGCACCTTTTGCATGAATGCAACCTGCACCCTTGCCATAAATGCAACCTGCACCCTTTGCATGAATGCAACCTGCACCCTTGCCATGAATGCAACATGTACCCTTTCTGTGAATGCAACCTGCCCCCTTTGCATGAATGCAACCTGCCCCCTTCCATGAATGCAACATGCGTCCTTGCAGAAATGCAACATGTACCCTTTCTGGGAATGCAACCTGCGCCTTCGCATGAATGCAATCTGCCCCCTTTCCATGAATGCAACATGTACCCTTTGCATAAATGTAACATGCATCCTTGCAAAAATGCAACCTGCACCTTTTCCTTGAATGGAACCTGCACACTTGCATAAATGCAATCTGTCCTGCACCTTTTGCATGAATGCAACCTGCACCCTTTGAATAAATGCAACATGCATCCTTGCATAAATGCAACATGCACCTTTTCCTTGAATGCAATCTGTCCTGTACCCTTTGCATGAATGCAACCTGCACCCTTGCCATGAAGGCAACTCCTAAATAAAACGTGCGGCGCCGCACGTGCCGCTCTCCCCGCCAAAAGCGGCCCAGGGGGAAAAAACAGCGGAAGGCGCCACGCCTGCGCACTGAACCCGCCAGCGCAATGCCTCCGCGAAGGCATTGCGCCTCTAGACGCCGGCGTGAGTCTATGTATGAGGGGGAAAAAAAAGAGAGCAAGACCCCGCCCACCACGCAACCACGCGCGCCGGCTCCGCCCCTCCGGGCGTCGGTTGCGTCTTTCGGCGCCTGCGCAGAAGGGCCGGGAAAAGGGAGCGCGAGAGGGCCTCGGCGGGCGGCCGCCGGCGATGCTGCAGCTGCGGGACTCGGAGGAAGGCGCCGGGCCGGCTCTGCTGGTGCCGGCGGCCGAGGCCGACGTGCCCTTCACGCCTCCGGGGGACCTGGAAGGATCGCTGGCGGCGCCCCGGCAGACGCTGCGGCCGCTCAACGTCCGCAACCCCACCCGCGGGGCCGCCTGAAGGAGTACTTCGTCTTCCGGGTGGGGGCCGGGCGCGCATGCGCGGAGGGGAGGGGGGGAAAAGGAGGACTGGAGGAGGACACGCCCCCCCGGGGGAGACTGCCACGGGCTCTGGAGGCTCTACAGGAGACCCGGAAATTATATTAATTATATTAAATATATTATATATATTTAATTTTAATATATATTTAAATTTAATAAATAAATAAATAAATAAATAAAATAAAATATATATATATATATAATATATTAAATATATTATATATAAAATATATTAATTGCATATATTTCTAATATATTAATAGAAAACAAATATAACTACACCTAATAGACTAGATATAAATACATTGTGATTATAGTTGTATTTATATAGGCGCCTGTCTCACAAAACAGGATTCCTGGAGATGTAAACCAAGTGTATAGTATGTACATTTGTGCATGTGTGCGTATGTATGTTAGTGTATGTAGGTACATATATAAACACCCGTATAAATACGGTGTAGTAGCATTTATAGAGCACTCCATAGTGTTTTACGGCACCATCTGAGCGGTAAAACAAATATAAATACTGTAGGTCGACATCTCTGTATAGAAATTTAATAAATAAATAAATAAATCTCGATAAAGATTACAGACACAGAGAAAGAAAAAAAGAGAGTGGGAGAGAAAGAAAAAGAAAGAGAAAAAAGAAAGAGTGAAAAAAAGAAAGAGACAAAGTGTGAAAGAGAATGATAAGAAAAAAAGAAACACAGAGAGAAAGAGTAAGAATAAAAGAAATAGAAAGTTTGTGAAGCGAGCGGTTAAAGATGGCTAATCCTTCTCTCTCCCCATTCAGCCGGGCACACCATTGAGCAGGCCGTCAATGAGATCCGGGTGGTTGTGATGCCCGTGGAGGACGGAGAAGTCCAAAGCGTTTGGCTGCTGACCGAGTAAGTCACAGGCCCCAAAGCCTCCTTTTGCCTGGACGCCAGAGCAGATTAGCATTTTTTTAAAAAAAAAAAATCACAATTTTTTTTTTTTTCCTAGAAATGTTTAGCCACGCTGGTGTCTTTTGCTTTTCTTGGCAGGATCGACCACTGGAACAACGAAAAGGAACGCCTGGTTCTGATTACCGACCGTTCCCTTTTGATCTGTAAATACGACTTTATCAGCCTTCAGTGCCTGCAAGTGACCAGAATCTCGCTTAACGCTGTCGATACCATTTCCACGGGCCAGTTTGAATTTCCTCCCAAGTCGCTCAACAAGTACGTTCTAACAGAGTCGGAAGGGACCTGGGAGGTCTTCTAAATCCAATCCCCTGCTCAAGTAGGAGACCCTAGACCAGTGATGGCTAACCTTTTTGCCATCGTGTGCCGGGAGGGGGTATACACGCGCGCACGTGCCCACACCCATAATTCTATGCGCCCCGCCCCACGCATCTGCGTGTGACACACACACCCCTTCCGATCCTGGCATGCGATGGCCCAGTAGGCCCGTTTTTCTCTCACCTGGCTCCAGATTCTCTCAATGCCTCTGGGGAGGGCGAAAACAGCCTTCCCCACCCCCTCGAAGGCCCAAAAAGGCCCGTTTCCCCCAACTTCCGGTTGGACAGGAATGGCGTTTTTTGCTGTCCCCAACCTCCAGAGATGCCTAGAGAGACACTGGAGGCTGGGGACAACAAAAAATGTCACTTCCTGTCCAACCAGAAGTTGGGAAACAAGCCGTTTCGGGCCTCCGAGGGGGTGGGGAAGGCTGTTTTCACCCTCCCCAGATGCATAGAGAGGATCTGGAGCCAGGTGAGAAAGAAAAACAGGCCTTCCCCACCCCCTAGGCCCTCCGGAGGCAGGAAACAGCCTTTTTCCCTACTTCCCATTCTCCAGGCGGGAAGGTGTCGGGATTCGAATCCAGTGGGACAAACAGAGCCGTGCTTCGTTCATCAACCGGTGGAACCCATGGTCCAGCAACGTGCCCTACGCCACCTTTACCGAACACCCCATGGCTGATGCCGACGAGAAGATCGCATCTCTGTGTCAGGTTCGGATATTATATAATCTTGGTTTGTTCGGGGTTTTTTTTAAAGGAATTTAAATGACTCGAGATAGGATTTAGAATCTTAAGGAAGAGAAAAATATTCCCTTATTTGCTTTGTTCTATTTTCCCCCACGCCAAGCCCATCTCTGCCTCTGACGCAAAGCCCTCATCCAGGCCTTCCCCAGACTCCAGGACTGGCCCATGTTCCTCCCCAACCTCCTCACTGTCTGACTTGGGGGAGTTGGGTCAGAACATCGGAGGTCCCGAATTTTCTTAGGGGGTCAAAATACAATGGGGTGATTTATCCCAAAATAGCGGGGACCCTCCTGGTTCTGCAAAACCAGTTCCCCACCACTAGCACACCAAACCAGGTTTAAATCCACAAACGGTGCAGTCGGACATCTGCGGACAGTAGCCTGTTGCTTCACTGATTTCTGAGGTTCTGCCAAGATGACACAACAACCCTTCAGTGTCCCCCCTTTTTCTTTCCTTCTGCAGTTGGAGAACTTCCAAATCCAGCTAGTCCAGGCTGTCAAGAAGGCCCATAGGGAATGTCCCCTGCCGGGACGGGCCAACGGTGTCCTGCTCCTCGAGCGACCGCTTCTGATCGAAACCTACGTGGGGCTGATGTCCTTCATCAACAACGAAGCCAAGCTGGGTTATTCAATGACCAGAGGGAAAATCGGATTCTAAAAAGCACACGGAGGTCACCATCGCCCCCCTGGAAGAGTATAGGGGAGAGAAAACGAAGCCGGTCAATTTTATTTTAATTTTTTTCCCCAGCTCGTCGAAAATCTCGCTGATCCTTCCCGACGGATCGAGACGAGAGGCGGCCGTAGAGAGCCGTTTAACCATAACACCGGAACTCCTTTCGAATCTTTCTCCACTCCTTCCGTGTTGTCTCGGATAAGATAATCGTTATGTTTTCACGCATGCTCTGGAGTTTTCCCCTCCCTATGTAAACAATTTAACCTGGGTTTCCTTCTTACGGGTGGCTAATTTTTTCCCGTGATTTAAAGGGATATCTTGAGAGTCTCAGGCGGCATTCCGGTGAGTAAGCACACCTTACGAGTTGACATGGTGCAGTCAAAATAAAGAAAAGTCGCGCGAAGAACCACTCGTCCCCCACGCTGCGAAATTCTACACAACGGCGTTCGTTTCCCGGGAATTTCCTGCCACGCAAATCACGTTTTTTGCATCGAGCAAGGGGGGAAAAAAGGGAATTTTCAATCAGCTTTCAATCCAAAGCCAGGGTACTCAAAAATCTACCAAAGCATGGGTATCGAAACAAGAACATGTAGTTTTAGTTCGAATGGTCCAGTTTTCTCTCTTGGTTTCAAATTCACTGAAACCCCCGAGGTGGAAACTCTCAAAAGGTGAAAATTAAAATTATATTAGTTCATCCAAGCCAAAAAGTCTTCGGAAGAGACTGATATATATTGGGAGGAAAATGTCTACTGACACATGGGGAACAATCGTTATAGAAGCATGGAATTTTCGTTTTTCGGTGTTTTCCGGTTTAATTTCTGCATTCCTTAATGCAGTTTTCTCAAACGGGGACTTCTTTAAGACGTCGGGACTTCAACTCCCAGGATTCCCCAGCCAACATGGCTGACTGAGGAATCCTGGGAGCTGAAGTCCAGACAGTTTAAACTGGCCCAGCGGAGAAACACTGCCTTAAAACTATCCAGAACTGAAATTCTGCTTCCCATACACTGGTCCTCTCGGTACTTCTTTGCCATTCGGCGTTGTCTCTGTTCACAATGGACAAAAGGTTGTTGCTGGGATGACGGCGGATATATGTCCTTGTTTGTGTTACGAGTTGTGTATACCGAAGCTTAATAAAACTCAAGTCCATACGAATCGCAGAAGTGTTTAACCCACAATTCCTTTCGTTCTGCCTTTCTTTCTGTGGAGACAAGTGCTTTTATCGGCCTCGGAGATCAGGGGAGTTTTTGCTGGCAATTGGTGGGCGCACTCACAAAATGGTTGCCAAGGCCGGGTCGACCATATCGCAGGTTATTTGACTTCCCAGTAATGCTGGAGATATTCTTTTGAAGGCAGTGAGCTGGATTTGTCTTCGGCGTTTACTTAATAGGACTTTTAAAAAGATAAGGGTTAGCGAGGCGCCCTTTAATCCGTGATTTCTTTTATAAGCCACGATTCAAGGTTTAGTGTTCTGGGAGGTTTAATGAGCGAAACGCTTTACTTGCTGCCTTTGAAAACCAGGCTGAAGATTGCAAAATTTAGCAGCACCTGGCTGGCACAGTCTCATCCTCAAAAGTCAGTGCTAAGAGGGGGTTAGAGCCATTTAGGATGGGGATGGAAGACCACGAGGAAATCCTACAGCTTCAGCGAGCCACTTCCATACTAGCCAAGACAACGATGTGGATGTGTGCATGAATTCTCCAGGATTTTTCTCAAAAGGAGGAAGGAGAAAGAACAGGAAACAGAAGGAAAGGCCGCGTTCCCCATTTTTTCGTGTCTACCTATCTCTTCCCTTATTTCCCTCTTTTCCTTTCTTCCTCTTCTTTCGTTCCAACTTCCTTCTTTTGCTCTTTCCTTCCTTCCCTCCTTCACTATTCCATCCTCCCTCCCATTTCCTTCTTTCTCTCTTCTTCTCTACCCCTTTCCTTCCTTTTTCCTTCCCATCTGCTTGTCTTTCCCTATTTCACTTTCCTTCCTTCCCCTTTCCCTCTTCTTTCCTTTTTTTTCTTTCCCTTCCCTGTCTTCCTCCCTCCCCTCCCCTTTTCCTTTTTCCCCCTTCCTCCTTTTCTTCCTCCCTTTTCTTCCCTCCCTCCTCCTTTCCTTTTTGCTTCCCTTTCCCTTCCCTCTCTCTTTTTTTTCTTCCTCCATTTATTTCCTTTCCTCCCTCCTTCCCCTTCCCTTTCTCCCTCCCTTTTCTTCCTTCCTCATTTCCTCCCTCCCTCCCCTTCCCCTCTTTCCTTTTTTCTTTCCTTTCCCTTCCCTCTCTCCCTCATCTATTTGGGGGGGGGCTGGCTTTCACAGAACGTCTCCCCCATTGCTCTGATTTATCCACAAAATCCAAAATTGCTGCCTTCTCATTTCGACCACACTTTTCATAACAAAGACGTTTATTGAAAATTGGAGAAAAACAACAATGCAAGTCGCACACGATTAAAATCTACATCCTTTTTTAAGTTTAACCTTTCCTGGAAAGCAAACTCAAAACCGGATCTCTGGCCTATTTTGAGTTTTATGTACAGATTTAAATTACGTGTGTGTGTCCCTAGAAAATCAGACGCGTGAACAAATCACTCGACTTACGTTTTTCTCCTGATTTCGGAAGAAGTGGAAGTTTTAAAAAAACAATGTTTTTTCACTTAGCTTCATTTTTGGTCCTGCTGCTTTGCAGCTTCTCTTTCTAAGTAAGACAGGCAGAAATTGTCCTTGCTTGAAAGAATCAGGGAGTCCCCATTCGGGTGCCAGCAAAACGAAGTCACCTTCAAGTCACCTGCGCACAAATATATATATATATATATATTATTTTAATTAATCCTTTTTTCCCCACTTTTGCAATAATTTCCAGCGTTTCAGATACGGCCTTTTGAAACACAGAAAAAAATAAATAAACACTATCTGGCAGCCAAAAAAGTATTTTAAGGCGAGTGACCGAACCATAGTGGGGTACTCTCTCTGTTTTACACCTTTTCAGTTTAAATTCCAGTGCAAAATAAATGCCAGAATTATCACAATGTACTACTTATTATTATTATTATTATTATTATTATTATTATTATTATTATTATTTATTGGTTAATCTTTAGTGAGATTCACAGCCTTTGAGGCTGGTTAATAGCTCAGCAGCTCAAGTCCTAACCAAGGACCTAGGAACTGTTAAGGTATCGTCGGAGGATATTATTAATTTTTACTGTTTTACCTTCCATCGGTATCTGCACGCAGGTACATCCTGCTGAAGACCAGAGATACATTTTCATGTTGCCGGTACACAGCGCAAGTCGAGATTGTTTGGGGTCCCACTGGAAATGCTGAACGGGACCCAAATGTTCCAGGACCCCACATAGTTTCATCTTCTGAACATCCCAGATCCAGACGGTGTTCGGGAGGCTGTCTGTTAAAAACCACACACTGAGCCATTAAAGAAATGCGGCCTAACCCACCGCCAAACGTCTTCACAGAATTCATACCACGTAGGAGGTTGAGCTGGGATCCAAGAATAGAGGAAGTCCTTAACTTAAAACAGTTCGTTTAGTGACCAAAACAGAAGACAAAACGTGTCCCACGTAATATGGTTAAGTGGGAAAGGAGTCCGTTCTGACCTGCTATCGACCACCCAACTTTCAGAAATATCAGCCAAGGGGATGATTTTAATTTTCACCCGTTTTAAAATCCTCACAGCCAACGATGGAAAGGAAAGGCTCCGTTCTGTCCAAAAAGCTCATTCCGTCGGCGGGACGTGAAGGGAAAGTCGGTTCTTAGCTTGCCTCCCAAAGACTCACCGTTTTTCGTTGCCAGGAAACTATTATCCGAACTGAAGGCTAACGTTGCGACGCCAATCCTAGGATTGGCTCGGTCCGTCGGAGGTTTGACGTGGTGCAAAGAAACGGGAGCTTGGAAAACTTCGTCTGAAATTGAAACAAAAACAAAGATTTTACTTCTTACCCTGCTAGCTCGAACCCCTTTTCACTAGACAAACTACGAACCAGTTTGATGCAACCAGTTCTCGACTTATGGCCACAATTGAGCCTGTTGTTAAGTGAGACATTTGTTAAGTAATTTCCCCCCCAGCACACACACCATTTACAATCTTTCAATCAGTTGTTAAGTTAGTAACACGGTCATTTAATTTAATATTTAATTTAATTTAATTTATTTAATTTAATTATTTAATTTAATGTAATTTAATGTAATTTAATGTAATTTAATGTAATTTAATTATTTATTTTATTTATTTATTTATTATATTTCTATACCGCCTTTCTCCCGTAGGACTCAAGGCGGTGTACAGTCAAGAAAAATATAATTAAAATTAATTTATTAATTTAATTTAATTTAATTTAATTATTTTATTTTATTTTATTTTATTTTATTAATTCAATTTATATGCCGCCCCTCTCCGAAGACTCATGGCCCTCCTTTAAGCATGCAAACCATCTGGGTGACGTTGGGCCGGATAGGTGGTGGATCCCACCTCACAGGGTTGTTGTTATATGGGGGAAAGACGAGGTAGAAACCTTCATTACAGATGCAAACTTTTGAGTTAACCGGAGCTAGATCGATGAAAACCAGATAAATAAAATAGTCCTTTCCACAATTTCTTCGGTCCGCTTTTCCTTAATTCGGTGTTTTTCCAAAGTCGGCACACTTGAAGACGTGTGGACTTCAACTCCCAGGATTCCCCTAATTGACCGGGGAATTCTGGGAGTTGAAGTCCGCACATCTTAATTCCCAAGCGCTCCTCAACCTGCTTCTTGCTAAGTCAAACACGCCGCGCTACCTGTACGTACATTTTGTCTTTCGGCTGAAGAGGGCGCTCGCCATCCTCTTGCTGGGTGGGAAGGTCAACTTCTCCAAGTCCACCGCTGGCGTTTTCTCGACTTCCTTGTAGACCACCTAGACAGGAAGCCAGATCAGGCTGGGGTCATTCACAAAAAGCACAGCGGGAACCAACATGGATCTTACGGAATAACAGAACTGGAGGGGACCTTGGAGGTCTTCTAGTCCAGCCCCCTGCTCGAGCAAAAAACCCTACAGCGTTTCAGACAAATGGCTGTCCAGCCTCTTGAAAACTTCCAGTGATGGAGCAGCCACAACTTCTGGTGGCAAGTCGTTCCACTGGTTAATTGTTCTGTCTTGTTCCTCCCATTCTGACACATGCTTAATACAGGTAGTCCTCGACTTACGACAGTTCGTTTAGCGACCGTCTGAAGTTAACGACGGCACCGAAGTGATTTATGGCCATTTTCCACACTTATGACAGTTGCAGCACCTGCACGATGACGTGATGGGCAATCAGATGCTTGTCCGCCGACTCGCATTTATGACCGTTGCCGTGTCACCGTTTTGCGACCTTCCGACAAGCAACGTCCACGGGGAAGCCAGATTCGCTTTAGCGACCACCGTGGGACTCCTTGAACCGCTGCAGGGATTCACTTAACAACGGTCACAAAATGGGGGGCAAAATAAACGCCTCACTTGGCAACATAAATCCCGGGCTCCGATGCGCTCGTAAGTCGAGGACTTGCCTGTATTGCCTCCCCCTAACCTCTACGGAATGAAGATGCTTACCGTTTTGGGATTAGTGACGCTGACCGGGTGGTCGAATTCTGCGATCTTCGCCCAGGTCACGTGATTTAAGATCCGTACCTGGTTAAAAGACACAAAGGCACCAATATTTCTGATTGTCGATCAATGATTGAGGAGGGGATACACTCAACCCATAGTAAAAACACACACACACAAAATGAGGATACCGATTAAATGTGGCCTAGCATTTCGGATAAATCTCAAACCCCACATCTTCATCAGCTTTGCAATGAATGGGCAACGGAGGTTTTTTGGGGGAGGGGGGGCAGCCTTGGCCAAACTCACCTTTCCGTCGTAGCTGCCGATCGCCAAGAACTGACTGCTGGGGCTCCAAGCGAGAGATTTCACGCCCAACGACCACTCGTAAGCGCTGTAGGTCGAGAGGAGACGCCCGTCCAGAGAGAAAAGCAGCACTTTGTACTGGGGTAAAAAAAAAAAGAAAAGAAGAATGACAACCATTTGTCCGATATGGTTTAGGGTTGGACTAGACGACCTCCAAGGTCCCTTCCAACTAACTCTGCTATTCTATTCTATTCTATTCTATTCTATTCTATTCTATTCTATTCTGTTCTATTTTCCTTTCTGTTCTATTTTCTATCCTATTCTATTCCTATTTTCTCCTATTCTATTCTATTGCTTATTCTATTCTATTCTATTCTTTCCTTATTCTATTATATCCTATCCTATTTTCCTCTATTCTATTCTATTCTAATCTATTCTATATTCTATTCTATTCTATTGCTTATTCTATTCTATTCTATTCTATTCTATTCTATTCTATTCCTATTCTATATTTTATATTCAATTCTATATTTTATATTCTATTCTATTCTATTGCTTATTCTATTCTATTCTATTCTTTCCTTATTATATCCTATCCTATTTTCCTCTATTCTATTCTATTCTATTCTATTCTATTCTATTCTATTCTATTCTTCTATTCTAATCTATACTATTCTATTCTATTCTATATTCTAATCTATTCTATTCTATTCTATTCTATATTCTATTCTATTCTATTCTATTGCTTATTCTATTCTATTCTATTCTTTCCTTATTCTATTATATCCTATCCTATTTTCCTCTATTCTATTCTATTCTATTCTATATTCTATTCTATTCTATTCTATTTCTATTTCTATTCCATTCCATTCCTATTTTCCACTATTCTATTCTATTCCTATTTTCTACTATTCTATTCTATTCTATTCTATTCTATTCTATTCTATTCTATTCTATTCTATTCTATTCTATTCTATTCTATTCTATTCTATATTCTATTCTTTCCTTACTCTATTATATCCTATCCTATTCCTATTTCCTCTATTCTATTCTATCTATTCTATTCTATTCTATTCTATTCTATTCTATTCTATTCTATACTATTCCATTCCATTCCATTCCATTCCATTCCATTCCATTATTCTACTCTACTCTACTCTACTCTACTCTACTCTACTCTACTCTACTCTACTCTACTCTACTCTACGATGATAAGCTAAGATGAAGCAACTAGGATGATTAGGGGACTGGAGACTACGAAGAACTGGAGGGACTGGAGTTCTACATACGAAGAACAGTTGCAGGATTTGGGTGTGGCCAGTCTGGAGAAAAGAAGGACTAGGGGGTGACATGACAATGGTCTTCCAGTATTCGAGGGGCTGCCCCAAAGAGAAGGGGGGTCCATTTTTTCCCCCAAAGCCCCTGAAGGCAGGACAAGAAACAACGGATCAAGGAGAGAAGCAACCTGGAATTAAGGAGAAACTTCCTAACCGTTAACCAGTGGAACCGCTCGCCACCAGAAATTGTGGGTGCTCCATCACAGGGAGGTTTTTAATCTACTTTTAAATTTTGTATGTATGTGTTTTATTGTTTGGCTGTGCACCGCCCTGAATCCTTTGGGAGTAGGGCAGTATAGAAATAAAATAAAATAAAATAAATAAGAAGAGACCGGGTTTTGGCTCACCTCGAGGCAGCTATCCCACACGGCCAAGACGCAGCCGTTTGGGGCCCAGTCGATTCCCGCAGCATCCTGGGTGTCGATTTCAAAATGCTTGAGAAACAAAAGACGGGGAAATAAGGAAAACCAAGCCGGGACTGAGAAGACGCAGGTCGGAACCTCACCTGGGCACGGAAACAACTCAGGTGAGACTGGACCGGTGCCTTTTTCTCAACTCAACCTACCTCCCAGCCCAGAGGAAAAATATCGGACAAAGGGGACGCCAAGAAACAGGCTGGGAATCCCACAAACCATCATCCAAGAGGAAGCCGCGAAGTCCAGAAAACGAGATTTCCTACCCTTAAAAGCTGCCAGTCGCTGCAGACGAAGAGGCTGACGTAATCTTTGCAGTCCCTTCGTTCGACCAGGGCCAGGTAGCGCCCGTCCTTCGTGAAAGCCAGGCCTGCAAAATAAAAAAATAAAATAAAATATAAAACAATAAAAGGAATTAAAATAAAACATAAAGAAAAATATAAAATTTTTAAAAAAATGTATAAAATAAAATATAAAATGAAATAAAACCATCTTCTTTTAACGATCCCATCATACTTCGCGGGGTGGAGTCTTGGGCAACTGAATGGAGCTGAGTGTTGAATGGCCGGATGCCTTTCCTGTCGCCAGTGAGGAGTTTTGCCCAGAGAAGGAAATATCTGCCTCTACCCAGGATCGAACACAATTCATTTCACTCACCCTGCTGGCAAGCTTTGGGGTATTTGATGTAGGAGACCGATTTTGTACACAGCGACCAGACGGTGATACGCAGCTGTTAAAAGAAGAGAAGAGCAACGGTGATTTAATTTTGCGGATGCGACGAAGGAGGCGGAGAAATTTCCTAGAGATTTTCCCTCCGTTCGACACTTAGAATCTGTCTTTATTTTATTTTTAAATCAGCCATGATTGCTGCCACATTAATGATAACTTGATTCTTTTTTTAAAAAAAAACTTTTTTAATAGACAGACCCAAACAAATCATAACGATTTTAGAACAGGATTTTTTTTTGTGGAAGAAAATGGAGAGAAAAATGATATATAAATATAAATGTGTGTGTGTATATACATATTCATATACATACACACACACACACACACACGTATCATCTTTTAACTACCCCATAATCCCTTGCACGGTGGAGACTGGGCAATTGAATGGAGTTGAGTGTTTACTGGCCGGATGCCTTCCCTGTTGCCAGTACGGAGTTTTGTTCAGCAGATATATTCTCAGTGCGTCCAGAGAGAGAAATATCTGCCTTTACCTAGGATCGAACATACAGCCTCCTGATTGTGAGCCGAGTGCTCCATCTCTAGGCCACCGTACCACTATTCACACATGCACACATACAACTATTCATTTAGTGACCGACGTTACAACGGCGCTGAAAAACTGGACTTCTGACCGTTTTTCACTCAACCGTTGCAACATCCCTGTTGTCACATGATCAAAATTCAGACACTGGGCAATTGACTCGTATTTATGACGGTGTGCAGCGTCCGATGGTCCTGTGATCCCTTTTTACAGCCTTCCGACAAGCAAACTCAATGGGGAAGCCAGATCCGCTTCACCGCCGCGTCGCTAACTTAACGTCAGTGATTCGCTTAACAACAGTGGCAAAGAAGGTTGCAAAACAGAGCAAGGGCTCTCTTAACAGCGGTCTCAATTAGCCGCAGAAACGTCAGGCTCAACGGTTGGATGTAAATCGAGGACTGCCTGTAAAAGAGCCGTACACCAGAAGGATCCAAGTAGTTTGACCTGTTTTGTTTAAACCGGTTTTTCCAAAACAGAGGCCCCCCGCCTTTCTCCCCCCCAAACCCACATTGCTGGCTTAACGCACACACGGCCAGCCTCACCTCTCCGTGATCGGGTGTCTGGCACAGCTGCTCTTCGGAAGGGAGAAAACAGCATTGCTCAAATGCCGACAACGGAAGCAGCTGAGAAGCAGCATTTAGACGGAGCTGCTCCAGGAGACGGGGTGGGGGGATCGCGCCCGGTTTATGACAACGCCGGGCAGGTGGCGAGGCGGCCCCCTCCGTCCCACGGAAACCCCCACGCTCCCAACGCCCACCCGGCGTTCCTGGTGGATCTCAACGCTCATCCCAGACTTGACGGGGTCAAATTATTTAGAGGGGGGCGTCTCTTAGCATGGGAATCCGGGGGGATTTTGGAGAGTGGATAAAAAATTTTCGGACTGAAACAAAAGAGACGAGAGAGAGAGAGAAGTAGGGATGGATGGATGGATGGATGGATGATTGATAGATAGATAGATAAATAGATAGATAGATAGATAGATAGATAGATAGATAGATAGATAGATAGATTATAGATGGATGGATGGATGGATGGATGGATGGATGGATGATAGAGATGATAAGATATGGATGGATGGATGGTAGATAGATAGATAGATAGATAGATAGATAGATAGATAGATAGAGATTATAGAGTAGATGATATAGATAGAAAAATTATAGATGGATGGATGGATGATAGATAGATAGACAGATTATAGATGGATGGACGTTAGAGATGATAAGAAGATATAGATGGATGGATGGATGAACGGATGGATGGATGATAGATAGATAAGATAGATAGACAGATAGATAAACAGACAGACAGATAATGATATATTATAGATGGATGGATGGATGATAGAGATGATAGAAGATAGATGGATGGATGGATGGATGGATGGATGGATGGATGGATGGATGATAGATAAATAACAGATTATGGATGGATGGATGGATGGATAGAGATGATAGAAGATAGGTGAATGGATGGATGGATGGATGATAGACAGACAGACAGATGATAGATATGATAGGTGAGAGAGAGAGACAAATGATAGAGATGATAGAGCTATAATAAAGAAAGAAAAAGAAAGGAAGGAAGAAAGGAAGAAGAAAGAAAGAATAAAAGAAAGAAAGAAAGAAAGAAAGAAAGAAAGAAAGAAAGAAAGAAAGAAAGAAGTCAATTTATTCTCCAAAGCACCAGAAGGCAGGACAAGAAGCAACGGATGGAAACTGATCATGGAGAGACTCAACTTAGAAATAAGGAGAAATTTCCTGACAGGGAGAACAATTAACCAGTGGAACAGCTTGCCACCAGAAATTGTGGGTGCTCCAACACTGGAAGTTTTTAACAAGAGACTGGACAGTCGTTTGTCTGAAATGGTCTAGGGCTTCCTGCCTGAGCAGGAGGGTCAGACTAGAAGACCTCCAAGGTCCCTTCCGACCCTGCCACGAACCTCTTTCAGCTTTGCCCCTTTTTTAAAGGTTCGTCCTTCGTTTTTTTCCCCCCAAGAAAACACACTTGCAGCTATTATCTCCATCTTGCATTTTTTTTCCCGGAAAAACGCACGACAGCGACGCAAATATTGCAGGCTAAGCCGATCTGAAAAACACCCAGCCTTCTTCCGCTCCCGAAAACAGCAGGATCAGAAGAAAGCCTAAATTAACACGTTATTTCCTTCCTTTGCGAGACGCCATTTGCAAAAAATAAAAATAAAAATAAAAAATGGCCTTTTAAATGCGATTTACGGCAACGAGTTCCGACAAGCCCAGATGAGATTGGTGACAAACATTAATTTTCACCCAAGCTGCAAGCTTTCAAGGGCAGATTTGATTTCTCCATCAGGCAGCCCCCCACGGAGACGACTATTCGCTTAAGAAAAGTGGAAAGAGGAAAGTTGTAACACGGGGACCAAGCTTCCTCGCTTAACGGCGTAAATGTTGGGGGCTCAATTGTGGTCGAGGACTACCTGCCAATATATACATTTTTTTAACGACGCGCCTGAGAGACGGAGAGAGACTGCAAACTGATAATCTTCTCCCCTCAGCTCTGACGGATGATGGATTCGGGGTGTCCGTCAGCCACCAGTTCAAATCCCGGGTTATCCCATCCAGCTGTCGGTCGGAGTTATTATAGCGCCTTGTTTACGGTCCCGGAGTAAGTCTACCCACGCGGCACGGCAGCTGGCTGGATGCGAGCTCACCGGGGTCACCGCCAGTGCTCCAGCCTGAGAAGAAATATTTCCCCGTCCGCCCCCGTCCCCATCTGCCACTGGGACGCAGGACCGGGGCGGGGGGGTACACACAACGACATGATAGCAATATTCCAATATTTGAGGGGCTGCCCTAAAGAAGAGGGGGGTGGGTGGTCAGCCTGTTCTCCAAAGCACCTGAAGGCCAGATAAGAAGCCACGGATGGAGGTTTGTCGAAGAGATCCAATTTAGAAATAAGGAGAAACTTCCTATCAGTGAGGACGATTAGCCCGTGGAACTGCTTGCCACCAGAAGTTGTGGGCGCTCCAAAACACTGGAGGTTTTCAAGAAGAGATGACAGAGCCATTTGTCTGAAATGCTGTAGGGTTTCCCTGCTTGAGCTGGGGGTTGGACTAGAAGACCTCCAAGGTCCCTTCTGACTCTGTTATTCTGTATTTCCTTCCTTCCTCCTAATTTCTTTTTCTATTCTCCTTCTTTCCATTTCCTTCTTTCCTTCTCGGAATTCCACTTTTTTAAAGAAAGATTCGCGGTATTAAAATAAATTCCTCCACCAGCCATGCTGAATACAGTCCTCGACTTACAACCACAAAATCGAACCCCAAAATTTTCGATTGCTGAGGGAGACATTCGTTAAGTGACTTTTGCCACATTTTACGACTTTCCTTGTTCGGTTGAAGCATTGCACTTGTGAGTCACCGTGTGAGTCACACGGTCGTTAAACGGATCTGACTTCCCTTTCGACTTTGTTTGTCAGAAAGTTGCAAAAGGGAATGACATGCCCCCACCCCACCCCCGGGACACTGCGCCCGTCATAAATACGAGACAGTTGCCAAGCATCTCAATAGATGCTGCAGGAGTCGTAAAGTGCGAAACACAGTCCTAAGTCACTTTCTTCAGTGCCGTCGTAACTTCCAACTGTCACTAAATGAACTGTTGTAAGTCAAGGACTATCTATACCGTATTTTTCGGACTATAAGATGCACTTTTTTGTCAGAAAAAACGGGCCGCAAAAAGCCTCAAAAATAGGCCAAAAAGACCCCAAAAATGGGCCGCAAAAAGCCTCGAAAACAGCCCCCCAAAAAGCCCGGAAAACGGGGCCAAAAAAAGACTCAAAAATGGGCTAAAAAAAGCCCTCAAAATGGACCACAGAAAGCCTGAAAATGGGCCGGAAAAAGCCTCAAAAACAGGCTGAAAAGACCCCAAAAATGGGCCACAAAAAGCCTCGAAAACAGGCCAAAAAAGCCTTGAAAACAGGCCAAAAAAGGCCCCAAAAATGGGCCGAAAAAGCCCCCAAAACAGGCCAAAAAAGCCCCAAAAATGGGCCGCAGAAAGCCTCAAAAACGGGCTGAAAAAAGCCTTGAAAATGGGCTGAAAAAAGCCCCCAAAATGGAGGCCAAATAAAGGACTGGAAAAGCCATGGAAGAAGGTAGGCCAAAACCTTTTTGTTTGTTTGTTTTCCTCTTCTAAATTTAGGTGCGTCTTAAAAGTCCGAAAAATACAGTATATTGAATTTCATTTCGATCCTTTGCATTTTGGGGTGGGTTTTTTTTAAAAAACATTTATCCCCATAGGGATCGAAACATATTTAAATCCATACCTCGATAAATCCAAAAGCAGAATTGAAAATGCAAAGGATGAAAATTAAAAGGGAAGGAACGTAACTTTTCATCGTTTCCTTTGCCCGTTTTAATTTAAAAAAAAAAAAAAAACATGTAGAGGTTTTGGAAGACTTAAACCCTTTTAAGGACCAAATTTGGCTTGCTTAATTAACTTTAGGGAATGTTTTCCTACAATACCCCCACCCACAAACCTAGATAGCCAGGTTCAGCTGTTCCTCTCTTTTTTTAAAATAAAAAAAAAAAATAGAAGAACAACACGACAAGCTATTTAGGGGGCTCAGAGGCGGACGGGAGCCTCGGAGCTCTTGGGAGAGAGAGACCCCGGATTTCACACACTCACGTGGAACTCGGTGGTGTTCAGGATGTGACGGCCGTCGGGACTCCAGGACGAGGCCACCAAGCCGGCCGAGCCTTCGTCGATTTTACAGTGCCAGTCGGGCTGTTCCAAGGACCAGACCTAAGGAAAGGGCAAAGGGAACGGTTAGTCAAGTTCCAGCTGCGCAAAACATCCGACGTCTTAAGAACCCTGCCCTGGAATTAGCGGGCTGGACTAGATGACCTCCGAGGTCCCCTCCGGCTCTAGGATTCTATGATTTTGCAGTTTGCAGATATTCACCGCTGCAATCATGAAGGATTGTTGTTGGAGCCCGCTACAAAAGTAAGTTTTTTTTCTCTCTCTCTCTTCTGTACAGGCAGTCCTCGACTTACGACCATTTGTCAAAAGGCTTTAACAGCTGTCTCGCTTAGCAACGGTCCCAACTGCAGTCGTAGGTCAAGGTATCGACAACATATCTTGTGCCAAATGTTTCTTTCGTTTTCATTTGTTAAGCGAATCGCTACCGTCATTAAACGAATCACACGGCCGTTAAGCGAATCTGGCTTCCCCTTTGACTTTGCTCGTCAGAAGGTTGCCAAAGGGGGATTTCGTGACACACACACACACACACACGGGACACCACGACCGTCATAACTACGAGTCCGTTGCCAGGGTTCTGAATTTTGATCACGTTGATCCACACGGGCTGCTGCAACCGTCATTAAATGGGGAAAAATGGTCGTAAGTCGCTTTTCTTCCGTGCCGTTGTAACCTCGGTCACTAAACGGACTGTCGTAAATCAAGGATTACCCGTACATTGGGCAGAATCCCAGAATGCTTTTAACAGCCAGGTATCTTCCCTTTAGAAAAGGCAGACTTGCTCTTTCAAAATTTGCAAAAATTTGTGACTTTTTCCAGGGGGGGAGAGCGGGGGGGGGGAACGGGGGGGGGGGGGGGGAAGCAATCCGTTTCCACTTCAACCTCTTTCCACCAGAGGGCGCTAGCTCCCTTTTCTTCTTGAAATCGCCTGCAAAAACCGATTTTCCCCACCTGTGTTTTTTTTTTTTTCCCTGTTTTTTGGTTCTGCTTCCCAATGCAAGCTTTATTTTTATTTTTTTAAATATGAGGGACAAGATCCGTTGCCAAAGCCGAGGTACGCACCTGCACAATCCCACGTTTATACATGGCGCAAAAGATAAATAGGGAATCGGAAGCCCATTCGATGTGCTGGATTTGATCCAGGCAGGTAAACAGTTGCAGAATTTGAAGACTGTTGACATCTCGTATCACCAAACGGTACTGAACCCCAGAAGCCTTGAAAATGATAATTATAAACACAGCTTAAAATTGTGTTTAAAAAAAAACAGCTTAAAACACAACACAAGAATGACCATATAAAGACAGATGCCGACGTATTTTATAATCCCAGATATTCCTATCGTTAACTCTCAAGACGTTCAGAATTTCACGTGTAGAAGCTAAAAAATATTGGATAAAAATATGCACGTGGTTGAAAAAAAATGATACAACAACATATTGACTTGAAACCTGAAATATTTCTGTCGGGGATCTTACCAGAAACTTAATAGTAAAGAAAATGCATATTTGATTATTCATGTAATAACTGCAGCTAGAATTGTATTTGCACAAAAGTGAAGAGATTCCTACAGAGGAGAATATGATAAGGGAAATATTAGAATGTACGGAAACAAATAGATTAACACTGGCAATGAAAGAGAAAGAAGAAACTGGTTATTATGCAATATGGGAAACATCGATGGTTAGAGGACAAATATAAAAATTAGAAATGAAAGTAGATGAGTCAAATATAGAAAATAGTTAATAGAGTTAAGCAAATTAAGAAGAGGATGTAAAATATTAGATATTTAATGTATTAAGCTACGAATAGATTAAATAATGAATAAGATTGTAAATTTTAACTGTTATTGCATTTTGTACCCAGATGACACACTGTTTAATGGAAGATGGATTATTTGTACTAAAATAAAATTTTAAAAAATTATATATAAAAAAATTGTTCCGTCCAGTCTCAACTCGCAAGGCTGACACCACGAAATCATGGGCATTGTAGGGTCCTGCATAAATTTTGATTATTATTATTTTTTTGACTTTGCCATATTGCACAAACCTCAGCAAGGCCAACTTATCCAACAAACCAGCGTTAAGCAAACCAGGATGGAATGCAATGCTTCAACTAAATGAACAACCCAGCATCAACTGCCAGAAACATTATAAGAATTCCCCAAGCAAAAAGACACACGCTGCACCAAATCAACACTACACAATTTGAAGCCGCACACGTCTACTTACCACATATTTCCCATCCGGGGAAAATTTGCACAAGTGGTTGGAGGCTTTAAAGAGTTCAGAAAAATTCACCATTGTCCAACTTCACAGACACAGACTGTTTCAGGAACTGAAATACAGAGTTTTTTTAAAAAAGTTTATTTACAAAGAAAAAACAAAAAGACTTCTAGCGAGCTGCATTAGATACAGATAGGCAGGCAGGCAGATAGCTAGATATAGAGGTAAATAGATAGATGATAGATAGATAGATAGATAAATAGATAGATAGATAGATAGATAGATAATAAATAGATGAAAGATGATAGATAGGCAGGCAGATAGCTATAGAGGTAAATAGATGATAGATAGATAGATAGATAGATAGATAGATAGATAGATAGATAGATATAGATGATAGGTGATATGAAATAGATAGATGATAGATAGATAGATAAACAGACAGATATAGAGTAAATAGATACATGATAGATAGATAGATAGATAGATAGATAGATAGATAGATAGATAATAAAACCGTGTTTCCCCAAAAATAAGACCCTGTCTTATATTTTTTTGAACCCTGAAATAAGCACTTGGCCTTATTGCCATGCGCTCAAAAGCCTGATTGGGCTTATTATCAGGGGAGGTATTATTTAATCAGAATTTTAAACATTTTAACGAACTTATTTAATATGACGCGGGAAAACACCCGAGATTTTAATTTTTTGCATATATATATATATATATATATATATATATACACACACACAAACCCTGTTTATATATTATAAGTAAGTAAATTATATATATATAAAATTTAAAATATTTACCCACCCGCCCCAAATTTTTCTCCCCTTAAAAAAAAAAAACAAAACCCTTTTTAAAAGGATGCTTTTCAGGGGGAAAAAAAACCCCGCCCCCCCCCATCTTGCAAGTTCCCAGGAAGCTGGAAAGTTGCAATTAGCCACGATCCTTATAAAAAAAAAAAAAATAGTTAATAACCATGAATAACAATTTAACAATTCAATGAATAACCATACAAATGAATAGCAATTTAACCATACAACGAATAACAATTGTAACAATACAATGAATAAAGAACAATTCAATAAATTGTTCAAATTTATTGAAATTCAATAAATAAATAAATAAATAAATAAATAAATTTAATAAGCATTGAAATTATTAATCCCATGAATTTGGCAGGAATTATTGAGGGGGGGGGGAATGCTAATTATTTTCAACCCAGGCAAGAGGGGGGGGGTCTTTTAAAATAAAGAAAAGGGGAAGGAAGAGTTCTTAATTTTTTTTGGGGGGGGGGAATGGATAGAAAATTGGGGAGAGGCCCCAAGAGGGACAGACCTAGAGGAGGGGGGGGGTTGGAAAAAAAAAGAGGAGGGGTCCCCCAATTTTAATTAGAGCCCCCCCTTAAATATAAAGGGGATTGAATAGAGCCCCCCCACCTTAAGCCTGGCAAGGGAAAGGAGGAGGGGGGGTAAAGGGAGCCCCTCCCCATAAATTGGGGAGGGGGCTGGGTAAGAAAAAGGGGGGGCTGGAGTGGGCGGGGCTTCAGCACCCTGAGGCGACGCAGGGATCCCCTCAGTTTGGCGGCCGCAGCATCTCCCGCCTGCCGCCGCCTCTGGCCCGCTTCGACGGCGTCAACCAATCAGGAGCCTCTCTTTCCCCCCCTCCTCCACCCTCCGGCCGGAAGAGGCGGGAGAAGAGGAGGCAGGAAAGAGCTCAGGCACGATGGGAAATGTAGTTCCGGGAAGAGAGGCAGGCTTAGGGAAAAGGATGGAGTTCTGGGGTTGTTTTGATTTGTTTTGATTTCCTGCAAAATTATTGCTTGTTTTTTTTTATTTTATTTTAATGGGCCCATTAATTATTATAATATCCGGGATGCGTTTGGTAATCGTTAACAGTCAGGAATTTCTCCTTAAGTTCCAGGTGGCTTCTCTCTTTTAATGATCTTCTCACCTTTATATAAATTTAATAAAACATAAAACAAACAAACAAACAAACAAACCTGTTGTTGTTGTTGCTGCTTCTTCTCCTGTCTTCTTGGTGCTTTGGAGAACAGGTGGAAACCGCCCCCCCTCCCCTCTGTTCTTTGGGGCAGCCCCTCAAATACTGGAAGACTGCTTCGTGTTCTGTCATTAACAGAATAAACAGAGTTGGAAGGCACCTTGGAGGTCTTCTAGTCCAGCCCCCTGCCTAGGCAGGAAACCCTATACCACTTCAGACAAATGGCTGTCCAGTCTCTTCTTAAAAACTTCCAGTGTTGGAGAATTCACAACTTCTGGTGGCAAGCTGTTCCACTGATTAATTGTTCTCACTGTCGGGAAATTTCTCTTTAATTCTTAAGTTGCTTCTCTCCTTGATTCGTTTCCACCCATTGCTTCTTGTCCTGCCCTCAGGTGCTTTGAAGAATAGCTTGACTCCCTCTTCTTTGGGGCAGCCCCTGAGATACTGGAAGGCTGCTATCATGTCTCCCCTAATCCTTCTTTTCATTAAACTAGACATGCCCAGTTCCTGCAACAGTTCTTCATATGTTTTAGTCTCCAGTCCCCTAATCATCTCCCCTATCTATCTATCTATCTATCTATCTATCTATCTATCTATCGCTATATATCTTTATCTATCTCTATCTATTTATCTATCTGTATCTATCTATCTATCTATCTATATCTATCTATCTATCTATCTATCTATCTATCATTTCTCCCATTCATTCTGTCTGTCTGTCTGTCTGTCTATCTATCTATCTATCTATCTATCTATCTATCTATCTATCTATCTATAGCTATATATCTTTATCTATCTCTATCTATTTATCTATCTGTATCTATCTATCTATCTATCTATCTATCTATCTATCTATCTATCTATCATTTCTCCCATTCATTCTGTCTGTCTGTCTGTCTGTCTATCTATCTATCTATCTATCTATTCTATCTATCTATCTATAGCTATATATCTTTATTTATCTCTATCTATTTATCTATCTGTATCTATCTATCTATCTATCTATCTATCTATCTATCTATCTATCTATCTATCATTTCTCCCATTCATTCTGTCTGTCTGTCTATCTATCTATCTATCTATCTATCTATCTATCTATCTATCATTTCTCCCATTCTATCTATCTATCTATCTATCTACCTATCTATCTATCTATCTATCTATCTATCTATCTATCATTTCTCCCATTCATTCATTCATTCTGTCTGTCTGTCTATCTATCTATCTATCATTTCTCCCATTCATTCATTCATTCTTTCATTCATTCATTCATTCATTCTGTCTATCTATCTATCTATCTATCTATCTATCATTTCACCTCATTCTCTCTATCTATCTATCTATCTATCTGTCACTGTCACTATCTCTGTCTATCTCTGTCTACCTACCTACCTACCTACCTACCTACCTATCTAGCTATAATTTCTCCTCATTCTCTCTCTCTCTATCTGTCACTATCTGTCCCTATCTCTATCTCTGTCTACCTATCTACCTACCTATCTACCTACCTACCTACCTATCTATCTCTCCTAATATTTCTATTTCTATCTGTCACTATCTGTCACTGTATCTCTGTCTGTCTATCCATCCATCTATCTATCTATCTATCTATCTATCTATCTATCTATCTATCTATCTATCTATCTATCTCTGTATGTATCCATCCATCCATCCATCCATCCATCCATCCATCCATCCATCATCCATCCATCCATCCATCATCCCTCCTCTCTCCATCCATCATATCAACCCAATCACACACCATTTCCAAACCCCCACCCCCGACCTTTCCTTCAATCCCTTCGATTCGGATTTACCCTCAATTCGGATCAAGTGCCTCCCCCTCACCCCCCCCCCCCCACTGCAGCGACGCCCCCCCCCCTCCGGAGCCGTTCCGCGAAGAGAAACCACTTCGATTCCGATTTCACAGCGGTCCAAGCTGCAGGTTTGGTGCTGACTCGGAGATCCGGATTCAGACAAACCCCACGGATGCTCCGGGTCCCCTCCCTCCCTTTCACTCCACGAGACACGCGGGGATGGTCTCCAACTCCTTCCTTCCTTCCATCCATCCCGCTCCGGTGTCTTTGTCTGTATTTGTGAAGCTCTCCGGGTGAATTAGAAACTCATATAATTGCAAAGTCCCCCCCCCTGCGCCCACGCTTTATAGAAAGAGTTCAGGTAAACAAACGAAGCCCCCAACACGCAGGAACACACAAAACCCCACCAGATCCACAAAGAGCGCCTCGAAATATCAGTGGTGCGTGGATACCTTTTAAAAATGAGTCCCTTTCTTTTTTTTCTTTTTTTTTTTTATTGCAAAAGTTTTACAATTACATTTTCACCCCTTTTTTTCACCCCCCCACCTCCCTCCCCAAACTTCCCGTCCTCCCTAGCCCTCCCTAACCCTCCCCCCCAGACTTCCCTATTATATACTCATAACTAATAATACTGATATATATACCTGAACCCATCCCTCCCCCTATATAATTTTCCCTCTTTATCTCTTTACATTAAAATATTTCTAATACATTATTTTCAAATAAAAGCTATTTGATACTTTCTAGTTTGGTATTTGTTCTGAACATATTCTATCCACCTTTTCCATTCCCATTCATAAGTCTCTTGTGAACAATCTTTTAAATATGCTGAAATCTTCGCCATCTCTGCAAAACTGGCCATCTTCAAAGTCCATTCCTCGATAGTAGGCAAAGCTTCATTCTTCCAATATTTACCTATCAACAATCTTGCTGCTGTTATCATATACAAAATGAGTCCCTTTTCTTGAACAGACCACGGTGGGAATATTTGGAGTGTGTGGCTAATAATAATAATAATAATAATAATAATAATAACAACAACAACAACAACAACAACAACAACAACAATAGGAGTAGGAGTAGTAATAGTAGTAATAGTAATAGTAATAGTAATCTTAAAAAGGTACTTGACTGATACCCAGGACACTGGCAACAACCCGGATCAATCATTAGCACCAGTCAATGGTATTTGTGATGCATTTTTAAATGTTCAGTGGATTGAGTTTTATGTTTAATGAATAAAGTAAATAACAACAACAACAATAATAATAATAGCCTCTAAAAAGGAGAACATTATAAAAACAGAAACGAAGGCAGAATATAAGGAAAAAGAGCTGGATGACAGATTAAATGGATGGAAAAACCATCTATTTATATAATAATAATAAATTATAATAATAATAAGGAGGAGGAGGAGGAGAGGAGAGAGAAGAAGAGAGAAGGGAGATGGAAGAGGAAGAAGAAGGAGGAGGAGGAGGAGAGATGGAGAAGAAGGGAGATGGAGGAGGAGGAGAAAAGGAGGAGGAGGAGAAGAAGAAGGGAGAAGGGAGATGGAAGAGGAGGAGGAGGAGGAGGATGGAGAAGAAGGGAGATGGAGGAGGGAGGAGAAAAAGGAGGAGGAGGAGGAGAAGAAGAAGAGAGAAGGGAGATGGAGGAGGAGAAGGAGAAGGAGGAGAAGGAGAAGGAGAAGGAGAAGGAGGAGGAGGAAGGAGGAGGAAAGAGAAAAGAAGAAGAAGAAGAAGAAGAAGAAGAAGAAGAAGAAGAAGAAGAAGAAGAAGAAGAAGAAGAAGAAGAAGAAGAGAAGAAGAAGAAGAAGAAAAACGATTAGCAGCAAATAATTTCACTTTTATTGGTTGGAGCGCTAAAACGCGGCGGAGGGAAGAAAAATAGACAGTGAACAAACCAACAAACGTCCCATCGTTGTCCTCATCGTGGCTAGAAGCTAGTTTATGACATTTCTCGCCCCTCCGCCTCTTTTCAGTCTTCATTGGAGATTCCAGGAAAAAAACAAATTTGTTTTAAACCAAACGCCCCATCCAGAGAATAGTCGGATGGGCGTTTTGGTCGAAGGAGAAAAGATGCCAGACCGTTGACATTAAAATAGATATTTTTTTTTTGGTTGTGAAAGGTGAAATTGGGGCGAGTTTTCGGGGGAGGGGTGCGAGAGAGAGAGTCGGGAAAGTGGGGTGGGTTTTGGGGGGCCAGTAGAAATCTAAGATTTCAGAAGAAAAGGATGTACAATACAAGCAGGCGTTAAGGAGCTAAATAAAGTGAGATGGAGAAAGGACTTCCCTGGCCGTTTCCAAAAACAATATAAAATAAATACAAAACGTAAAATATTAAACACAAAAACACCCAATTAAAAAATAAAATAAAATAAAATAATACAACTGTCCAATGTCCAGTGTGAGGGGCGGCATATATAAATCCGATCAATAAAAAGACAGAATATCATTTCCACCAAAGTCATCAAAATGAATTATAAACCCAAAATCGCATCCCAAAGGGGAATAATTCATAAAAACGACAGCAGTTCCACCAGCGCGCTCAATCCATCCATAATAAAGTGCATTTTTTAAAAAAAAGAGAGAGAGAGAGAAAGGTTCCAAGCCAATATATACTTATTCTTAATTTGTTCTCTATTATTAGCATTTTCCTCCAGAATGATGAGAGTCAATACGAGAATTCCTCCAGAATTATAGGAATAAAAAGAAGGAAAGGCGAAAGTTTTTTGTGTGTTTTTTTTAAATCTCCTTTTCGGTCCATTTGTGTGTTTGTGTGTGTTTGCGCGCGCCTGTGTGTCCACACA